TCTGCAACGCTGGCCCTTCAACAGGGGTGGCTTTGAGCCAGAGCCTAATGCATCCTTTCTTTTTTATCCAAATGAGGTAGTTTTTTTTTCTCCTTTATTGCGAGATCCAAGGAGCAAATAAGGGCTCCGTGTGAGAGCTCTATCGGACTGACCGGCGCGTCTGTAAAACAGGAAATATGCATACTACCTCCGATCTGACACACATATTTCAGATTTTAAAAAAATCTTAATTTGTTAAAATGCGTCCTTATGTATATTTCAGGCTGGCGACACATTCCAAAACAAATTTGGCAGAGCAAAGCTGTTCTCTTATGGTGCTGCCACCCACTCTGAGGCTTCCTTGTGTTACAAAAGACAACAATTTTCGCTTTAAAATTGTTTTTTTTTTAAATTTTTGTTCCTTTTTTTTTAGTCCCTGGTTTTCGGACTCGCTTCGGTCTGCACAGAGTGAGGGATCAGAGCATGTAGGGTCAATTTCTCCCCTAAAAGATCAGACATTTTGACTGGTCCTATGGTAACACACATTTCCATGGATGCTCCATGCTTTTGGACTGGGTTTATATCAGGCTAAGTTAGGTTTGAAGTGGTTCTTTGAATGCGTCTGCATATTATAGCACACGAGAACATCTTCCCACGAGAGTGTCCCGCTCATATGTTTTTATCAGCTTTTAATCAACTTTTGAAACAAATTCCAATGATTTTTCTCATGTGTTGGACTTTGTTTTTTTCACCTTTCTGTGGCCCTCAAAGATGCCGCATGGATCCTACTTTTGTACTTAGTCAAAACCCCTTTCACGGTTCTCTTCTTTAGGACTATCCCTAAATTACTCCCTAAAAAAGTTTAGGTTTCGTACAGCGGTCAGATGTAAACCAAACCTTTACTTGTTGTTAAAGTGTGCAGTTATTTCTATCAATGGAGCTTATCTCTATTTATCCTTGTGTTTTTTTTCATGAGTAAGATGATGTTGAATAACTTTAAGGCAAAGTGTGTGTGCCAAAGCATGAAAACACTGCCCCATTACCGCAAAGATGCCCAAATTAGGTGGACGGATCGGATCACGTGACCGCACTGGACATCAGATTCGGAGGAAATAACCACTGACGTCTTGTTCTGGCTTCGGGAAAATAGCTGTGCTGGAGTTTTCTGAGCATCTTCAGCACTTCCTTTTGATTAACGAGGAGAAGTCCGGGCCTGTGACAGCTCCAGGACTAGATTTATGGCTCCCAGTGGTCAGTCATTAATGTTCAGGCCTCGCCGTTTAAAACCCGGCCTCCATCAGGTAATACCCCCAAACAGGCCCAAATAAACGTAGACAACAAGTCCACAGTGCCCATTTAGCCAATCCAGTGTGATTCTTTAAAAAAAAAGTTTGGGAAGTGGAAATGGAATCTATCTGACAATCTGAGTAAATTTGATTATGGTAATGAAGACTTGGAGGAAGGCTGGGCCTGGACGGAGTCGTGTCCTGGATGCTCTCAGCTGCAATAAAACCGCGCGGCAACAGATGGAGCTGCAGGTCCCCCGGGTTTCTTCTGCAAATGAAACAAACAAAGCAACAGAAAAAACAAAAAAAAACTCTTGCTGCCTTTTATCCATCAAGACCTTAAAATCACAATGGTTATTATTATAGTAGCTTAATAATACGTTCACAAGAGCTCATTCAAACACTTAGAAAAAGAAAAAAATATACATATTATATATATACTGTATATATATATATATATATTTCATGTCAACAGTGGTTTAAATAGTTGGTTTGTGAATGATATATTTTTACTGTGTAACAAGTGCATTTAAAAAGGGACATTTCTTTCTCCACCCTCATTTATTTCTCACAACAGGAGAAATATTCAGTCTGTCGGTAGACATGACATCATAATGTCTCCATATTGTTTTGTTTTTTTAAATTGGATGTATATTTTGTTATCCTAAAAATTGTATCTTCTCTTTCGCTTTTTTTTTGTTGCAGGCTTTGCTTTTCCAGAATTCGAAACTCATTTTCCATCATTCTTGTGCTTCTATTACACTTTTGTGGCGAAACTAGGTCAAGTCTCACTAATAAATAGTCCGTTTCTTGTTTGTTTAGCTGTCATCTTGTGTGTATTCCACACTGAGTGTGAGCCTTTTTGTTTAATATTAAAGCATTAATCGTGTTACGTTAAACAAAAAGACATCTAACAATGCGAAAGACACATCTGCTGTACTTGCTGTTTGCTTTGGGTCTCTGGGCCTGCGTTTTGAAATTCTCTGCTGTTGCTCTTCAAAAAGAGGGAACAGGGATCTTTTGTCTGGAAATCAATGCGCTCTTTGACAAACTGAACTCTCAGTTGAGCAGTCTTCTGTTTAGACCTCCGCCTGGGTTAGCCTGAGGTGAAATCTAAAGCTGTCCTGCCTCCCGACCGACTCCTCTCTGGTGCTAACTCTCAAACAAAACTGTTGTTTCCAGTAATCCACAACTGGACAAACATGGTCCAACCATCATCGGATGAAAGCAGAGCTATAAAGAGTTACACTAAATGTGCCTGTTTGAAGCCCTATAACTGAAAAGTGTGAAAAAACGAATGCTGAAAAATAAATGCTGCTTTCTATTTGAACTATATCTCCTAAAGCTGGACGCTCCGCCTCTTTAAACGTACAACAACGCTAACGACTGACCTCTGACCTCTGAACTCAGCCTTTTAAATCTGTATCTGTGGTTCCAGAGGGTCTCAGTCTGGATCGCTCTTGAACGTGGTCTCTACTCTCTGTGCTCTCGCAGGGTGAGGGTGTTCGACCTGAGAACCGGCTCCTCCGTGGTGTCCCTGTACGCCCACCACCTGGGGGTCACCGCCGTGCAGGCGGACGAGTGGAAGATCGTGAGCGGGGGAGGAGAGGGGCTGGTGTGCGTGTGGGAGATGAGGATGAATGCAAAGCTGTGGGAGATGCACAACAGGTGGGAACATATCCACAACAGAGTTGTTCCCCCGTATTGCCCTGTCAGAGTCAGGACACATTTAACCGTAACACAAACGGACTCTTCCCAATTTAGTAGACAGACGCTGATGTTTAAGGGCCACGCACAAGCTCTTTGTCTATGCTGTTATGCTAATGGACGTCCACAGCAGATTTGTTCCCCCTTATTGCCCCGTCAGAGTCAGGACATATTTAACCGTGACACAAACGGACTCTTCCCAATTTAGTACTGACAAGGGCCACGCACGAGCTCTTTGTCTATGCTGTTGTGCTGATGTTTTTTTTTTAGAAAAACAGTAAAGTCTCCAACCTTTTTAGAGTGAATTTAACCGCGTTAACTGATGTGTGTGTGCACGTTAACCAACACCAGACTGAAGGCGCCGGCTGTCTTTGTAACAGGCATCCCGTGAGGCACGTGCGCTTCAACACCAGCACGCTGCTGACGGCCAACATTCCCGATGACAAGTCGCCGCGGGGGGCCTGCATCACAGACGACGATCTCACAGCTCACCGGAGGTCACCATTTCACACCCCCAGCTCTTTTTTAAATTTTTTCTTTGCTACTTCACCAATGTCAGCAAACATACTGAAACAAAACCAAAAAAAAGTGGATGTTTGGCCCCTGTTTATGTACTTATCTATTTATCTATTTATTAACATGTAATAATCCATGAAGAACGATAAATTCAAACATGACTATAATACAATACTTACAAGTCAAAGAAATTCATTTTATTTGTAACAACGAACGCAGACCACGTTAGAAGGAAAAATGGAAAAAGGAGTAAAAACGAAAAAGGAAACAAACACATTGAAAAATAGTTTGGAAATGAAAGTCAAACCATTTTTATTTAGTATAAGAAGTTGAGGGTAGGTTAGATTCTGCTATGAATGTGTGCGTTTTTTTGCATGGGGATTTAAAAAAAATTGTTTCAGACATTTTTGTAACTCGTTTTCTTTTAGCTTCTAATTCTGGTTGTTGACTCAAAGGAAAAGGAAAAAAAAAAACTGAACTATTGTGACTAAGTGTGATGGTAATATTTCCCAGATATTTCCAGTAATTAATTCCTCAGTGAGAGCAAGTTTCATTTTTTTGTAGACCATTGTTAATGCTTATTTCCTGTATGAGTTTCATAGAAAACTTAAAAGTCCAAACTCAATATTTGCCAGATCTGGGCATTTTGGGCTTCATTTGGCATGTTGATGATTTAGAATTTGGGCCAAAAAAAGAGCTTTTAATTGGATGTTTTCGGTGCCCAAAATGTTACCACAGGCCAATTAAAAACAGCCCCAAGCAAAGTACAGCAGTGTCTGGGTTTTTGGTTTGATAATGGGAAACTTTAGCCAGCAGTATGATAGATACAGTGATAGCTCAGATTTTTTAAAAAGCTGATTGTCTCACTGTTTCCTGTAAATCAAGAGAAAAAAAAATATTTTTTTATTCCTATTTTGGCCATGACATAGTCTTATGTTTGAGGGTTTTTCTTTTTTTTTCAATCTTTTAATTATGCCTTAATCACATTATTCTGGGATATAGATTTGACCTAAAATTATTATTTTTTTTTACTATAAATGGTAGCAAAATGTATCAAGTTTTCCTTTCTAATGTAACTCATTTCTTTTTATGCCTCAGACACCGAGGGGTCATCTGCCACTACGACTTCTCGGAGGACGCTCTGACTCAGGACCACGTCCTGCCCATCTGCAGGTCCGACTACGTGGACTCGTCCGGATACAACTACAACATCGGCCTGACCGTGCCCTACGACCGGCTGACCGGCTCCCATCCCTCTCACTGACCGGGACAAACAAAGCCTCTTAGATTCCCTTTTCAGGATTCTCCTCCAATCAATTCCTCTGGAAATGTCTCTCAGTGCTTTTATGTAGAATGTGTAAAATTAATTTCCTTTGTTGTTACTATGTTATAAACCCTGTTGGAAAATTATTTTAAATTATGTTTAACCTCCCGGGCATGAGAGACTGCAACAGTTAATAAAATCTCATTTTTATCTTGTATGAGGAAAAATGTATTAACAGACCAAAAAAACAACAACTTCCAGACATCATTTTTTTCGTCTAATTTCATACATTTATTTATTTAATGCATAGAATTTTAGGTTAGAGCATCATTCATTATTCAAAAATAGTTGCTTTCACGGTACAGAGGCAGCCACTGGTTATTCAAAGTCTCAGAGGGGCACATAAATGAAATATGGAACTATTCTGGGGCTGTGGAGGAATGCCTTCTGCTTGCGTTCTTTGGATGTTAGCCATTACAGATGACCGGCAAACGCCACGGGAGCCGTGGAGCAAAAAAAAGCGTCGGCCTTTCGCAGAAAGCTCCTGGAATCCTCCGCATTCATCTCGCCGACCATTTGGACAACAGCTGCGGTCAAAAATACCTACAGGCGCATTCAGTAGGTAGCAAACGCGCTCAGAAAGTGTCAAAATTAAATAAAAATTGAATAAAAAAAGGTAAAACACGACAACAGCAGCATACAGTTAGTAGAATTACAAACATCTTTAATCACGTTTAGATTATTAATGAATTAAATATGTCAGTGCCTGTCAAAATATTTGGTTTCGTCCCTCGTTTTAGGACCGAGGGAGTCCTACTAAAAACGGCGGCCTTTCAGGAGCTGGACTTCCCACAGCGCATGGTGGTGGTGTCCACGTCCAGAAAGCGAATGTGCATCCTGGACTCCATCTCCAGGCCCTTCAGGATCTGTGGGCGGACATCCGGACACTGACTCCGAAAAGTTCTCGGCGTAGAAGGTTTGGAATAAAGAGGAAGGGGGGTTAAAAAAAAAAAAAAAAAAAAAAAAAGTGCTGACCTGTTCAAAATGCTCAAACGTTATTCCCTCGTAAAAGTCGTCTGGAGCCTGAAGGGAACATGAACGGGGGACATGAGTGCATGAGTTTGGAGGGAGGATTCTATCCACCAGGTGAGTTTTGGGAGGGGGGGGGGGAGTTGGAGGGGTCCCTTACCATGTGGGGCACGTTGGTGCTGGCCACCTCCAGCATGGCGGCGTCCGCTATGGCCCTGGCCGCCTCCTGACCGATGGCGCCGCTTTTGGACAGGAGCTCCTCCACCACCTTAAAGGAGAGCAGAAAGACGACATTTTGGATACGTCTGTCCAAGTTTAACAATACCAATTATCTTATTTAAAGCTGATTAATGACGACAGCAGCCAAAACTCGCCTCCTTTACACTCAGAAAAATTCTGACTGAAATAATTGTCCAGCATCTTTCCTGTTCTGATGCGTGCATATTTTGGCCTGACTAAAAAATAAATAAAAAAAAATCCAATTTTACCCCTAATGAGATCTGGTTTAGTTTAGACGGAGGTCAGCTCTGGCTATTGGACGCATTAAAAGTCATTATGGAAAGTACATCATGCATCAAATAAGAAGGGGAATCAAATTTACTCCACTCTAAAGCAACCAATGCGAGGTCACCTCTTCCTGTTTTGTTTTGCTGATTTCTTTGATTTGGCCCAACCTAACATTTGGCCCCTTTCTCCCCCACAGTTGTCGAGCCTTCTTTGTCTTTTGGGAGACCAATGAACCTTGTATTTTTTCCCTTTACAAAGACTCTGCTTTATTAAGGTTGTCAGGTTCTCTCCTCCCTTACGTCCAGTGAGAGGGAGATGTAACACCCACGATGCATTTCAGGGGTGAGAGGGAGGTCTGCCTCACCTTCCTGTACTCCGCCAGCGTGATGGTGCCGTCACTGTCCGTGTCGTGCATGTTGAACAAGACTGCCGAAAGCACAAAAACAAGATCACAGACCGGTCAGAACAAGGGGAAGCTGCCACCAGAGGAACCTCTACCAGAGATCCAAATAGGTCAGCCGACCCAAACGATGATAACTAAAGCACAATAGCAGAAATCACACCCTGTTATTGAGTCAGCTTTGAAAAAAAAAAGTCTGTTATCTGACTTTTACAACATTCGGCTGATTGTAAGATCTTTACAGGCGGTAGTAACAAAAGGAATGACTGATCTCATTAATATGTTCTACTACCAGTGTTTGTTCTTTTGTCTTCCCTGTGTCCTTTTTTAGGAGCTCCTACAGGTTCTCCACCCGGATTGCCCACAAGGAACAGAGTCCTTTTTACAGACACAGCAGCTGATTGTGAGGTTTTGTTGTCTTTCTTTCTTTCTTTCTTTTTTATTTTATTTTGTTTTATTTATTTTTTCTTCCCCTTTCTCTTTCTGTCTAAAGGATCTCTCTCCTTTCCACTGCTCTTCTTTCTTCCCTGTCCCTCTGTCAGGTTCGGCATTATTGGACACGTGTAAGTTTGGTAACAAAAATGAATAAATAAAGCAGTTTTGGGTAATAGAGGGGGGCTTCTCACTAACAAAGCCTCCTTTGGCAAAGCAGTTTTATTCAGCATAGCACGGTACTCAGATTTCAGTTCTGCTGCCATAAAACTGAACAGGACAAGGTAAATAAAAACACAAAAAAAAACATGTCGACTGCTCTGCTGTTGTCTTTAAACCAGCCTTTTCTCATAAAGATCACCAGGTAGACATTTTATTTTACTTTTTGAAAAAATTGGGACTGTGTGACTGTGGGAAGTAAACATTCTGTCACAAGAGAAAAAGCACAGTCCAGGATCCGTAGAGTCATCCGGGAACTATCTATTTCTCAGAGTTTTGTGTCAAAACGCATCTCCCCAGCAGGGAGCAATGGAAACAATCAGATCTGTTGTGATATATTTTGTATCCAGGTTTTAAATGAAGGACACCACTGTGTCGTTATTTTTACGCATCTTGGGCATCGTACTGCTTTTGAGCTCTTATCTTGAACTTGGTCAGATTTAAGAACTCTAAGTGAGGTATTGAGCTGATTTACCAAGTTTAAACAGTCTAGGACACGGGGTTTTGCAGCACTTGTTACATAATATGACTCATTTTCTGCTCTTTTGTGAAAAATGTGATACTAAATCAAACATATTAAATGGGATATTTTTTCAAGCCATGATTATCTCTAATCGCTGAATCAATGGTAACATGTTAAAGTTCAAGCCCTAAAATATTTATGTCTGTGTGTGTATATATATCTGTGTGCTGTTATTCTGTTGAGTTCATCCAACAGATTTAGCCTTCTTGGACACCCCCAGGTGATATTGCCAGGATTCAAATAAGGGCTCAAATAATTTTCATTTACATAATTTTCACCACAGGGTCCCACCCAAACGAAGAGCTTTTTGGTGTGTAGAAGCCTCACTGAGTGGTTAAATGCAAGAAAAAAATGGGGAGAAATATTCGGATAGTTTGTCAAAATTATGCCAAATGCTGCAGTCGAAGTGTGGGTCCAAGAAAATATTAAAGAGCTTTTTCTTTTCTTTTCTTTTTTTAGACCAATCATTAAATGTTCTCATGGAGATTAGTCTGAACTGCAACTGAGCAGCATCTTTAAACAAAGTGTGTAACTCTCCTTTTAAGGTTTACAGACCACCAAGAACACACACGACAAATTGTTATTCTTCTAATAAAAAAAATGCAAGATCCCTGTACAAATCTGCTCAGAAATGTCTGAAATTCAAGCTCTGCTTTGCTCTAACGTCCAGCTGGCTTTTGGAAATTTCAGGTGGCAATTCCCAAAAATAAAAGCAGTGGTTAAATACCTCGTGGAATAGAAAAGCAGATTACTATCAAATGTTCCAATCATATCAGATGGATGAAAAGAGCTGTGAGTTTTTTAAGTGAGACAGCAGCTGTTAGAAACCAGAGAGAGTCACTCACAGCGAAGTTTCTCCTTCCTCAGAGTTTCCTTCTCCTCGTCGGTGGTTTTTAAGGTCGGAGGGCGGAAGTGGGACATGACCATGAGGAACTGCTCGAAGCCGATCTCCTCAAAGGAGCCCACCTTGTTCTCGTGCTGGTTCCTGGGTCACAGGTACAAGTCCAGAAACCAATAAGAGTATTCAACCAAACAAAAGCTCTGTGCTTCTTTATCAATGATCTGACACTATCTAATGTATCCACAGACTCTTCAGTTTTGATTCTCCCTCTGTTACAATGTTGTTGTCAGAATTCCCCATCAGTTATTTCAAAATTGTCTTTTAAATGAATACCAATGATAAATGGCTTAAAGGCCCGATATCGAAGTCAATTAGTAGTGCATAATTGTTTTTTATGGATCTACTTAAACAGGTTTATGAGCTTTAATGTAAAAAAAAAAGAAAAGTAACTGCATTAAAGTGAGTATTATCCACAAACTTTTTAACACCTGAGGACCTTTTGGTAACATCTGGCCTGCTAATCTCTGTTTTAGCTCGATTGGTCAGTGATGGATACAAAAATCAACTGTTCCTTATTTGTGTGTGAAGTGTGCAAAGGCTGAGCAGGTAATTATGCAAATGGAGCACTTCAAGCTGCAAAAAAAATCAAGGATCTTATAGATCTGCAACAAAAGCCAATACAGTTTAAAAAAAAAAAAGGGGAAAAAATCTGATCAAAACAGGAAACCGGTCGTACAGATCCGAACTGAACTGAAATAAAAGCCTGCAACTGTGAAGCTGCGATTCATTACAGGAGGAACAAACTATTTACTGTAATATAACTGAACCCACCTTTTGTCAAAGAAGGCCTCAACAATTTGCTTTCTGATGGGGTTGTTGGCGAGGGCTGGAATGCTGTCCAAGTTCTCTCTGCTGCAATTAAGCAATGATGTATCGAAAAGGTGTCAGAAGGTTTTAAAACATTCAAACATAACTTGATTTGTACATATACTGTACATATATATATATATATCAACTCTATAATCCCACCCTTATACTGAAATGCTTCAGACCAGCACTCTTTTGCTTTCATAGAAGCCCTCCTAACAGATTATTAATAATAATCACATATAAAAACTGGCCACATTACTGTTTGTGGCATGTTTCATTTTTTTTTGTTTAATTTGTGGTTGAATTTATCTATTCTTAGACCTGCGACTAGACCATTTTGTTGTTCTCTCTGTTATTATTGTTAATTATTACCTCGTCCTAATGCTTAAAACTTTAGAATAAACTTTGTCATGTAATATCATATATATCAAAACGCAAGCAAACAATCATATTACCTTATTGTCTCTTTATTTCCACTCAGGTACTGGAATCTTTTGTGCAGGTTTCTGATCTGCTCCACTGAAACTAAAGAGGGAAACCTTATCAGCACTCCGGGGGAATCAATGAAGTGAAGTTCTTCTCTCAGAAAGGAGGAACTTCAACAATGAATTATTACAGCTGCATTTTTATGCCATGTCATTAAAAAAAAAGAAAAATCATTAACCCCACTCTGTAGTTCCAAAGGTAAATCGAGTCTCTTTTCTGTCGGGTCCCATATTGAGCTGGGCAGATTCAATAGTTTAGGTGTGCAGCAGTGTTTATTTTTCACCTGTCTTTTCTCCAACAGACGCAGATAAGTGGATGTTTGCAGAGTGGCTGAGGCCCAGACAGGCAAACCACGGCCACACAGAAGCAAATGTGCTGGTCAGAGTGGGTGGAGTGGCATGCAAGGTTAAGGCTGAGTAATTAAATTACACCGAACAATCATAGAGCACCATAGAGCAGAAAACAACATAAAAAAATGGTTTGATTTGTACCAATATGGAATCCAAAATGCACACAACTCTTGTGCAGGAGGAAGAAACACCTGTCTGTGCAATTGGTCCAAAACATGCACGGATATATTAGTGATTTGGGCTTAAATAAAGCTTAAAAAAGCCACACCTTGGTAATAAAACGGTTCAAAGTCTCACTCGGATATCAGTAAAGTTTCCCTAAGCTTTGGCTGCAAACTCAATCAAATGTCCCAACGGAAACTTCTTTAAAAATAGACCCTCTCACTTCTGCAGTTTCTATCCGATTACACTTTCATTTCTTTCTCATTAAGCCTTTTACAGTCACTTCTTAGAGCCGAAAACTCGCAGAAAAGCGGTCCGAAAAAACCGAACCAGCCCCTGACGCACGTATACAGAACGCGGATAAAAGTGTTTACCCACACCAGACGTGCCAGACAAGAATGTCTCACTTGCTTTTTCCTCAGTAGATTTTTTGCCCAAGATTAGTTTTCCAAACCTGATCGGGTCAGACCTGTTGGACTCATCCAGATAAGAAAACTATTCTCGGAAGTTTCTCGCACCGTACTCCGCCACTGAAATAGAATTAGCCGGTGATTATAAAGGTTGGGTTTCTCTCTTTTTGCACTCACATCCAGTTTTGTCCACCAGGTCCTGGTACTTGTGCTCCGCGCGCGTCTGTGAGGCTCCCATCTCCGCCGGTGCGTCAGTTACGCACGGACCAGGGTGGACTGGCTGGACTTTTTCCGCGCCTTCTCCTCTTTATCTCGCCTCTAGGAGGTCCACGGAAGGCTGTGGAGTTCCTCTGACATCCTCCAGGTCCTAAATCCTCACGGCGCGCGGAATAACCCCCCGCGCGCTTTTACGCGTCACACCGAGCGTAAAAAAGCAAAACGACACGGAAAAGAACTTTTTTTTTTAAACGCGACACCGCTTTATTTGTCTAGTTTCCTCAAAGGCTCAGTGTCGTTTTCTGTTTTCGAGTCATTAGTGTCCTTTTTACTGTCCACTCAAGGTGTCGGGACTCATTTTTCATTCGCAAATATACAGAAAAAGAAAACGGAGGAATGTGAAAGTCGGACTTTCGTAAGTGCATGGAACTCTGATAAAAGATGGAAAATTTGAAGGTTGTTAGATTTACAAGGTTTTCTTTCTTTTGTGTGTGTGTGTGAATGATGCTGGAGGCAGGGAGATGTGGAGACGAGCATTCTTTGATTGGAGGAAGGAGGGAGATTTACAGTGTCCGGACACTCATCTATCCACTCAAGACAAGAAGTCCATTGTCTCTCTTTTCTCTCTTTCCTTCATGCTGTGTTGTTTTTGAGTTCAAATCCCACCTCCGAACCCGGCCGGGAGAGTGGATTTTTAGAAAAGGGTTCATAGGGGTGGGATTATCTAACGTTTGAACTCGTTTTTTTCTGAAACGATAACTACTGTGTGGTATTTGGAAGCAAGTATCAAAGCAAATACTGTCACAATCTTTTTTTTCTAAAGAGAAAAAAAACAGAAAAGGAAAAACAAAAATAGAACCTGTGTTGTATAGGACTTAGTCTTGATGTGCAACAAAGCAAAAGCGAAGTGGATTCTGGATTCTGAACGGAGGAGGGGAGGAAGGGGATTTGGCTACATGGACATGGCCTGTTGGGGGTTGGGGTCTGTGGCCGGAGTTTCTGGGGGCGGTCGGTGGTAGAGCTCCCGCACGGAGCCCAGGGTCTGGGCCGCGTCCTCCGGGTAGCGCGTCTGCAGCTCCTCGTTGGCCACGTAATGGGTCTCGGCGAACTCGGAGAAGTAGCGGCCCACCTCCGGGTGCCCGATCTCCAGCGGGGCCGAGTGGGGCTCCAGATTCTCTGGGGATCAAGAGTGGGACAAAGGGACATGAAGGTGGACTGTAGTGTTGCCTTAACTTGAACAAAACAAACCAAAAAAGTAAGACGTTTTGAAAAAAACCCCGGCAGACTGATTATTTTAGTATTATTATCAGATGTTCGATTGCTTTGTTACTTTTAGAAGAGTTTTCTGGAGTTACAGTGGGGGAAATAAGTATTTGACCCCTTGCTGATTTTGCAGGTTTGCCCACTTACAAAGAATGCAACGATCTATAACTTTAATCATATGTACATTCTAACAGTGAAAGACAGAATCCAAAAGAAAATTCCAGAAAATCATGTCATATGAATTTATAAAAATTGATAACCATCTGATGAGGAAAAATAAGCATTCTTTGTAAGTGGGCAAACCTGCAAAAATCAGCAAGGGGTCAAATAATTATTTCCCCCACTGTACTTTTGGATCAACATAAGTGACTTGTTCATTTCCATGAGTGGGAAACCTACTGGTTCCATTAGTCAAAGCAGCTGAACGCACGTGCCCACAGCCACCTGCAGAACACGCTGCCTACATGCATGAGCAAATGTAAGTACAAATACAGTATCAGCAGAGAGACTGAACACACTCTTTTTTGCGTTTGAATGAGTGGATGTATCCAAACCTTTGACCCACAATGTAGATACGAGTGTAAATGTTAGTGGAGGAGTTCCCGTGTGAAAATCTTATTAAAAATATCCACTGGTAAAACTCTAGATCAAAACATAAATATGTCAATAAAATTTACAGTGGGGGAAATAAGTATTTGACCCCTTGCTGATTTTGCAGGTTTGCCCACTTACAAAGAATGCTTATTTTTCCTCATCAGATGGTTATCAATTTTTATAAATTCATATGACGTGATTTTCTGGAATTTTCTTTGGGATTCTGTCTTTCACTGTTAGAATGTACATATGATTAAAGTTAGAGATCGTTGCATTCTTTGTAAATGGGCAAACCTGCAAAATCAGCAAGGGGTCAAATACTTATTTCCCCCACTGTATATCTGCAGAAAGAAGCTATATGCTAAAAGCATCCGTTACTGAACTGATTTTTAAAATGGCTGTTATCCCCCTGTCGTTATCTAACACATGCAAATGTCTAACACTGTTGTTTTTTTTTGTTTTTTTCTTATTGCAGGCGTATAGAGATGTGGAGCGTACACATGTGGATCGTACCCTGTGCGGCGTAGCGGCACGTCCCGTCCTGCACGAGCACGTTGTAGAAGGGCTGGCTGGCCCCGCTGGACAGCTGGTGGACCCTCATGGTGGTGATCCACTCCTGGCTCATGGTGCATTTGGGGTCCCAGCCGTAGATCACGCAGTTATAGCCCGACCTGGAGGGGGGGAGGCAGAGCAGCGCAGGTGTGTGTGAGGAGGGTGGACAAAAAAACAACAAAAAACAGGCTTTGCGATAAGGTGGCCGACCTCTTGTGTTTCATAATGAGGCCGACCGAATACTGGACCTCCAGGTGTTCCGGGGCGCTTCTTCTCTTGACCTCGGGCGTGGCCGGGTGCTTCTTGTGCTGGATGTGCTCCAGCGTGTGCTGCACCAGGTAGCCCACCGCCCCGTGCTGGGAGGGGTCCAGGGCCTGGATGTGCTGCAGGATGTCCAGCACCTGGGGAGCCAGCGGTCAACGAAACGTGAGCGGCCGGGAGCGAATTAACTCATCGGCTGGCAGCCATTTTCAGAACAGAGAGTCCCACACTGCCAGAGTTTTTTTGCGTTTTTTTGAGTTTGTGCTATGACTATGTAAACACCGAACACACCAAAAGAAAGAGTAGACTCTATTCTTTCATCAGGAAAAAAAAATTTGTTTCTACATTATTCCGTTCTTCCTGGACGTTTCTCTCATAGCGAACCATTGCGTTTTTTTTTTTATTTGCCTACAATCTATGCTCATCTCCCATCAAAAGTGGCACTGCCACCTAGAGGGTCAATTTGTTACTACATACTCTGTCTGGAAGCCGATATTTACGGAAAAACTTTAGCAGATCGTCCCCCAAGCCACTCTCGTAGAAAAACATAAAACACGTCTATAGACGTCTTTGGCAGCGAACGGTTGTATTTGAATTGACGTCTATAGACGTCTTTGGCAGCCAATGAGTTAACCACACGGGCGGTAATTACTTGGTTTAATAAGGACAAAAACGAGCCAGAGAAACTGGGCAACAGATTGCGTGGCCTGACCTTTTCGGGCCAGATCCCCAGGTGGAAGTAGAGGCGAGCCTGCAGCAGCAGATACTGCACGTTGTCCGGGTCGATGGTCAGGTAGAGGTCCAGCGAGTCCCGCAGCAGCTGGTAGGATTTCTCATTTCCTTCCCTGAGGAAAAAAAAACACAGTGTGCAGGTAGCGTCGTTTAAACCGAACGTTGCATCGATTCGTTCATTATACGATAATGAATTATTCACTAAGTTTTGATCTTGGAGATGACACAAGGCAACCCGCTCTGTTTGCGAGTTGATAATATGTATTTCATACCGGGTGGATGTTGTGGGGAAAGAAAAAAAGAAAAGATAAACCTAAACAAAACACATCCACACTGATGTTTGGTGGCCGTTTCTGTGTGGGGTTGGTGACAGAGGTGTTTTTTTTGTAGTAGTCCCTCCAATATTGCTGTTAATTAAAAAAAAACATTTTTTAAAAACATTTTTTAACAAAAAATGTGTATTATTTAAATTTGTTTTGCAGATTTTTTTCTACATTGCAGGATTTTGTGATGTATACGTATTTTTTAGACATTTTTTTACTTTAATAAACATTCATAAAGCCCTAAAATATATATAAATAATAGAATAAACTACTTTGTGGAGGGACCACTGTACCTAAAATCTGGTATAATTAGTTACATATAATGTACACATATAATGTTGGAGCAGTTGAGTGAGCATTCCAACAGTCACTAGATTCTGCACAATTCTACCCAAATGTATGTGATTTAAAAAAAAAGACTCCCATGCAAGAAACCTTTATATGTTCACTCAGAAGTCTCTAGCTATAACCTGGGTTATTAATCATGTCTCAAACTAACCACGGATTGGAGCTTTTGATGCAAAAGGCAGGTACTTCAGAAGCTGCTCGACACTTAAAGGACAACGCTGATAACTCAATGCAGCATTTTGATAAAAAAACGCTGTTAACCCTTCGTCAAGCTGCAAAGAATTTCCCAATCCTCAATACTGATCACTTCAAAATAAATTTAATCTAATTGTGAGCGTCATCGATTAAGAAAAAAAAAGTCCTCTTAAATAGGCTTTGTCATTCTAACTTCTAAAGTTGAAGAAATGTGGACCCGTCCCACCCCTCATCCAGCCCTCGTCCAGCCCTCAACAGTGGGGTTTCTCTTACCCCCTCTTGCCGATGTTGAGCAGGTTTCCCACCATCCGCAGCAGCACCACGGTGGTGCTGATGGCGCTGTAGTAGTCTGCTGTCACCTGGTGGCCGATCAGGTACTCGCACTCCTTGGCCGTCAGCTGCTTGCCTTTTCCAAAGGCGTCGATGTAGACGAAGTCGTAGATGTCCTCGCTCCTGCAGGGACGAAGAAAAGGAAATGGAACCAAAGGCAAGTGCAACTGGAAGAGAATACATGAAAAAAGATATTCCCTTATCTGTACCACAGAATGGAAATTTGAGTGTTACACCAAGTAAAAAACAATTATTTCAATTAAGCAGAAATGGTGCATTCTTTGAGCATTCTAATGTTCTAAAAGTTACTGAAATTTTTCCTAAAAATGGGAAAAATATACAAAAAATACATAGCCAAAAATCTAAAAACGATGATGAGCATTGTGGAAATGACAAAACCAGGAAGCAAAGCCATAAACGACGCAAATGTCAGTTCATATAGTCGATTTGCAAGAACTAAAAGGATTTGAATTTCACGCCATACCCTCTTGGTTTTTGGCACCAGCGCAGCAGGAAGTGGTTCGGAAAGTTGACCGGCTCCAGCCGGAGACCCAGTTTCCGGGCCAGCGTCATGTAAAGGATGGAGAGGCTTATGGGAATGCCCGTTCGACGAAGTAGCACCTGGACGAGCCACAAGGATTCACGTTAAAATAGCTCAAAAAGTCCGGATATATTTGACAATCTGCCGTTTCTGAGAGGAGGCACCTGATGGATGTAGGAGTTGAGCGGGTTGTAGTAGTCGCACTCGTTGCCTTTGTACTGAAGCTGCTCGTACAGGACGGAGTTCAGGGCGCACACCACCTGCCTCTGGAGCTCAAAGTCCTCTATCACCGGGTCCCCTGTACCACAAACACACACACACATAAACACACACACAAAGACAATCCACCTGCATGAGGACTTTGAAGAAAACTGACTTTTTTTTCAGACTGAACTGTGAGATAAGACCCACAACTTGTAGATTTCAGTTGCTACCTGATCAAATTGAAATAAAATAATAAAATAAATCAATCCTGAGCCGGAACTCACCCTGAGAGAGGCGCAGGCTTGGGTGCGATGGGTTTTTGATCCTTAACATCTTCTTCGCTTTCTCTGCGATCTCGTCCAGTTGCAGAGAAATGTTTTCCAGCGTGACGTCAGCCAACGGGTTACAATACTGATCCACTAAAACCGCACCTGAACAGGCAAAGGCGGAGGCCCAGAGAACAAGGCAAGGCATAAAATACATTCATGGGTAAAATCTTACTACAATTTTGATCTCTATTAACTCTTGCAGGACTATTTTTCCCTCGAGCAAATAATTCTGAGGCCGAGGCCACAGTCTGAGTTCAGAAAATTTCACAAAGAATAAATTGTCTGGTGTTTTCCATTTGAATTCTGTTAATGTATAATTGACTCTAAGCTGACACAATTCAATTCTTCTGAGCGTCAAGAATTCCATCATAGTTTGACTATTATGAAGTGGCTCGGTCATTTATCATCTTAAAAAACTTTAATAGATTACATTTCCATGATGCTGAATCCCAAATAGGAAAATAACCCACCGGGATTAATGAAATCTGAATGACTAAAACAGACACACAAACATCCTTTTGGAGAATCGGTGGTATTCTTATGTGAATCCGGTTATTGGGAATAATGTGGGAACATCTGAAGTATGGAACAGCTATTAGTCAGACCTAATTTGCCTAATTTTATGGAGAGCTGTTACTAATAAATGTATTCAACTAAAGCACTAGATGTTTGAAATTCATAATGAATACAATACAGCACTATACACATTTTTACTATGACTCCACTAACCTATTTAGCCTCTGTTTCGGTGCATGCATTACAAGACTTTTGTAGCTTGGGTTATCTAGGGAGATCTTAGTTATAACACTGAACTGGAAGTTTAGCGAGTTCTTTTTTTCTAACACAATGAGACCCCCAAATAAAAATAAATACTCTGATGATGAATAATAAGATAACAGCAGGTTATTTTCTGAAACAGTGGGGATTTCCTGTCAGATTCCTCACCTTCCAGAGCCGACTGGCGCTCTGCAGGCTGCTCCAGGAACGCCTTCAGACTCCGCAGGATGTTCTGCTGCCGCAGGAAGTAAAGGATCTTCTTTGCATAGTACTTCAAAGTCAAGCTTTTCCTGAGGATGAGCGGACAGCGAGAGAGGCTCAAATGCTCCGTCGAAACACAAAACAAACGTCCATCGTCACACAGATATCGAAGGGAAAAACACCCAGCTTCTCTCACCTCCGGTCGGAGTTGAGTATGAAGAGGAGCTCGTCCTCGCAGAAGTGCTCCGGCATCCCGAGGGACTCGATCTCTGCAAAGCTGTCTCCCAGCACCTGACCTACACAGGGCTGAGTCACATACAGGTCCTTGGGTTAGTGGCGAAAGCACGGGAGAGGGTTTGGAGACCACATAACCGGACTTCAGCGAGTTCACACAGACTCGTTTTCTGGGATCGATTTCATCCCCGTTACTCACAACTTCGGTGAAGAACCTCTTGGAGATGGACTCCACGGTGCGTCTTATCTGGATCCCCACTCTGTGGCGGGTTTTGTACTCTTTGAGCCAGTCACAGCTCTCGTTCTGGCGGTAGAACCTCTGCAGCCGTGGCCATCTGTGGACGAAAGGAGAGGAATCGCATCGTCAATCCCTCCTGAGCACGCTGTGGACCGGTTTGCCTCATGCAATACACATCATCAGAGTTTATAAGTCCACTCTGAAGGCTGTAGTCCTGTTGGGCAGAATGGGGGAAACGTGGATAAGCAGTGGACAGGAAGGCTTAGGATCTGCCTAATGCACTCAATCGCAGGACTTAAGGTCACCTAGTTCAGTGTTGATTGGTCTACGCTTATGGTTTCCACTATTTAAGACTGGAAATATCTTTATTTGAGGTGGTGCAGTGGTCCTCTGATTGGATGCTGGCCGACAGATAGATTTGGTGCATCAGCAGGATGTCAAAAGCTGGATGAGGGCTCGCAGCTAGCAAGCAACCTCAAAGCACACACGAAAGCTAAGCTAAGTCAAAAGCTAATAAATACGTTATTTAAGAAACAGGACGCGGACAGAAAGAAGAAAGACCTCAAAATGTAATTTAGAAAAAGGCACCTGAGTTTGTACTGGTGTCCCCAGACCTTTCCCCTCGCGTGGCAGACGTCGTGTAGCCGCTTGCAGCAGCACGAGACGTTACAAACGTCGTCGTGTTTGAGCACGGGGAAGCACAGGATGTGCTCGAGCAACTCGGTGGGCAGGTCGGTCAGTTTTTTGGCGTGGGGCTCGCAAATAATCCCGTTCAGGTTCGGTTGCTCCTCTTTGGCCACCGACGTCGCCATTTTTACTGTTTACCCCGATTACCTCATTGCCCTGGCCCCGCCCCGTTATGGCGCAGGGGGCCGGGCTAAGGGGCGGGGCCTGACAAGCTTCCGGCGATTCGATTGGTTGTTCGGTTAGACAGAAATGGGGAAGCAAGCGCGTGCTGCCTTCACGATCACCGGGAGTTATGCGTTTGTGTCATGCTGTTTAGACTTAGACTTAGACTTCTTTTATTGTCATTGCACAAAAAACACAAGGTGAATCTTGACAACGAAATGTCGTGACTTGGATACCAGTGCAACAGAGCTAAGACCTTATTCCTACACAATAAATACGTTTTCAATAATATTTCACACAATTTGAAACGTAGGCAAAAACAAACTTTAACATTTAAAGGTAAAAAGACTGAGTGCACTAGCTCTCTATTGCCAAAGTTATTGATTGCATTACTTTTTTGCTTTAACATATAACTACGTTTTAGAAAGAAACTGGTGAAATAATTCGCGTAATCATTTCCAGAAGAAACAAGGACGATGCAGAATGCTGATTGATTTTTTAAAAAAAGTTTTAAACTATCTTTACGACTAATTAACCATATATATTATATCGATACTTTACACTGCGACATACAGTAACTTAGTTACTTCTATTAGAAATTCAACTACAACTTTTTATTACGACATTATATATGGCAAGCGAATGCAGCATTGCTTTGTAAATGAGTTTGTTAGCCGCAGGTAGCTATCGCTTCGTTTCCAGAGTAGTTTAAACGCTAAAACCAAAGTGTTTTGACATTTTAAGAAGGGAAGTATTTGATAAATAATGTATCAAAATGACCTAAGCTTTAAAAAAGGATTCACGGGTTTCATTTTAGTTGAGACGAACACTTTTCGCGTAAAAACGTCTTACTTTGGACGTAACGTTAACTTTAGTTAGCTAACTTAAATTCTCTTGAATCCCGGGATCGTTAGCAGTCAACCTTTTCAACTTTTTACTCTCCACGCCCGTCGGAAGTATATCTGTGAAGTTGTAATGTTGTTTGGACAGAGGAAATACGGACACAGACACAGATACCCGTAGATGTGGAATTTACGAGACGTCCCCAAACTCGTATGTCAACATCCCGAAAACCTTTTAATGGGAATTACTTCGAAGAAACGGTAGCAGGACAAACTGAGAAGCCACAGCCATATCATTTTTTTGTTTTTTTTGTTGTTGGTAATTATGCTAAATGACTCATCGCTTGTTGTAGTCCTGGAATTTGAGTAGGCTGCTGGGAAAATGCCTTGAGAGTACACTCGAGTTGAAGGGAATGATAGAACCACTCGATTAATTGAATAGTCCGGCTTTTTTTATTTTATTAAAAGTTTAAAATCATGGCAAGTGCCTTAGCATCCAAGATGGGATTTAACTCTCTAATGAGGAAACAAGCCAGGAACTTCAACGTGAGGATCTGCACCATGGAATCGGACATGGAGTTCAGCTGCGAGGTGCGTTTGAGAACCTCACGCAAAAATTATTACCTATCTTATAAACACTAAATATTTCGTCTGGGTTGTTTTTCTGTCCGATTTCTACTCGTATCGTGACTACATTTGAATTCTTTAAACCGCTAAGATAATTAAAAACAAAGTAAGAGGCACAACTTTCCATTGGTTGATGCTAATGTAGTAGTAGTTTCTTCTCTTTTCCGACACTAGATGACAGCATTTGACTACGCACCAAATGCAGAATATAACAGAGAGTGTGCTCTAGATGGAAGTTTTTTTGTCTTTTAACCTGAATGCAGTCAGATTTATTTTTAGCCCTATCTATCTCAGTGCTGACACCACAAAGGAAAATCATGTGTCTGGGTCGTAATTCAGTTTAATGGCTGATATCTGTGCCCTGTTTAAGTGTGTGAGGTGTGTGGGTCGTAGTATTTTCTCTGTGATAAATTGGAGTTGGAAAACATTTGTTTACTTCCAAGCACAGGGCCTGTATTTAAAATGGGAGGGACCCCACCATGGTTAGCAATTAGTTTAGTTGATTACAGGCAGCAGCAAAATCCTAGCAGCAGGTTTCAACTTGCAGTGCTTTGAAGATGATGATGATGATGATGATGATGATACGACTGTGGTCAGTGAGTAGTGTTTGGCAGGTTTTTGTCACACAAACAAGTTATTTGTGTTTGTGTGTGGAGTTTATATTCTAATTTCTTGTGTGTCTTCAGTCAATTTCTTTATCCTAACCATGAATTAACTTGACCACTACTTGCACTCGGAGTTCACTCTGAGATTAAACGTACCTGAATGCTTCCATCTGGAGGAGATGACCAGCTTTTATAAATGTTCAATGAATTTAAGATATTCGTTCTTACTCTCCTGATGTATAAGAGGCTAAAACAAGTGTTCTTTCCAGGTGAAGTGGAAAGGAAAAGACCTTTTCAACTTGGCTTGCCGGACTCTGGGACTGAGGGAGACGTGGTTCTTTGGGCTCCAGTACAACGTGAAGGACTCTGTGGCCTGGCTGAAGATGGAGAAGAAGGTTAGTGCTGTAAAACATCTCTCCGCTCGAAAGGCCCGCTCCAGGGGAAGATCGTTTCTATAGATATAAAGGGGAAGAGAGAGGGTGATGGTGCTGATTTCTTTGGCCATTTCGCACAGGTTTTGGATCAGGAGGTGCCCAAGGAGGAGCCCATCACTTTCCACTTCCTGGCTAAGTTTTACCCGGAAAATGCAGAGGACGAACTGGTGCAAGACATCACCCAGCATCTCTTCTTCCTGCAGGTAACAACAACAACATCATCCCGTTCAGCTGCTTTTTTCTCAGTATTTTATGTATTTCAACTATGTAATGAGATGATTCAGAGGCAGTTCACTGCCAACCTAAAAATATTTTGTTATTACCAGACATCTCCTTCTCTTCTGATAGTATCTGTCCTGTTTTATTCCTTTTTATAAGTTAACGATCTGATGAGTTACCTTTATGGACAGCAATCCACTTCATGGCTGATCGTTGTTTCTACATCCATTTGTTCTGTAGACTTCTGCAGATGAAGCGGCAGACAGTCTAGTCCTTTTATTTTCTCAAAGAGGGAAGGCTCTCGCCGTTACGCAGAATTCCCTGAGAAGTCGCTCTGACACAGAGCTTCCCAGTGGCAGGATCTACGCTGCAATGCGTAGCTGTTGAAAAGCTTACAGCTCTTCACACAGCTTTGTCGAAAGCCCACATGAAGTTCTTCTCAGATGAAGTTGGGGATTACCGCATGGCTAGTGGGCAGACACTTTCCCATCTTCCTACGGGGGAATTCATGTCAACTTCCTGAAAAAGAATAACTACTTGATTTAGAATTGATGTCTTGGCAATGGTTGCAATACAACCCGGCGACTCTGAAAACCTTTAAGATGCTCTCTGTTTATAATGTGATCCATTAAGGCTCCACAAACCAAACATGGCTGATCTGCTTTATCCTCGGCTTCCTTTTTTTATTCTATTTACACCCAGAGCCATCGGGGCCTGAATATCAGGGGGGTACACATCCACAGTTTCTCTCCACTCTGTAATGCACTCTTTCCAGTGTCTCGGTCTGATTGCGTGCAGCCATGTGGAATCGGTGCACAACATATTACCGCTGCCCTTTTCTATCCTCTTAATACTCTCCGGGGGAATTCCTGCAGAGAGTCGTATCGGCACGGTACCAATAGCAAAAGATGAGATTTCTTTCCGCGCCGTGGTCATCTGGTGGCACCGGCCACATTTATCAATTACCAATTAGGCCTGAAACGCTCACTTATTGGTCCAGTTAATGCCACGTCGTCCCTATGGGATGCTTGTCCTACCCTTATCAGGCTTGTCATGCTGGTTTAGTTGGACCGTGATACACAGTTTTCAGTTAAAAGGTCAAATATAAGACTATTGAGCGTTTGGCAGAAGCGGCCACTGATCCATCTATTTATATTCAGCCAGTGGTAATGGTCAACAACTTTTTCCCTCAATTTTGAATCGCATCGAATTCTATTTTTGCTCTTCACATCCAATACAGTGAGCTAGGTGCCATCAGAGTTTAACAGTTCAATACAGTAACCTAGTTATTAGATCTCCCAGGCCTCACACAAATGTACAGTAGATTTAATCCAGAGCGTGTTGAGCAAACGCACACTTCCAGCAGCCCGGCTGAAAAGCGGACGTGTTGTTTGATCTGCGGCCCACAGAAAGAAAGACCGTATAACACAGCAGCTAACGCAGAGTGCCTCGGACTATTAGTAACTAAATTAAAGACGATTGGCAGGAAGGCAACGAGCCTGAACCCGATGGTTGAAAGCAGAGGAAAAACACAAAGCCAAGCCTCTCCAAGCCAGGAATTATCCAGTCCGGTGAGTTAGAAATACAAGGTTTTAGCCTCAAAAATGCCAATGCAGAGAATCCGACTCATCCGAGTTTTAAAGGTAGGCTGAAGTCTGTTTGTTACCATTTCGGACCTGTCGTTGGTCACATCGCTGGCCGCCTCCATCTGGGATTTGGTCTGCAGTTATTTGCTCACTTTTCGGAAAAATATGTTCTTTTTTTTGTTTCTTTGGCCCTTACTGAGTTGTGCTTGTACATCTGACCCAAAAGATAGTCACTACAGGCAACCCTATTTATTTCAAAGGCGGTTATTTTCCTGAAAGAAGACGGCAGCCCGCTAATTGACCAACAGTTAGGGCCTGATTCCAAAAGCACGTCACCTACCTGCTGCTGACTCCGCTCTCATTAGTTCCCGCAGTGTCAGGAGGCTCTGATAGTGTCACAGGCGTGACAACGGGATTAGCGCTTATCAGAAGCCCTGAGATCCCAGCACACACACACACACACACACACACACACACACACCAAACACACACAAACACACACACTTTGGAATTGGAAGGCACCTGCCCCGTCCTTAAGCCACAAAATGTAGCCCCAAACCCCGATTTTGATCCTTTCAAGAAGGGGGGAAGTTCACAAACAGAAGAGGCGAGCGCGCCCCGACAGAAATAGCACAAATGATTAAAAATCGGAGGTGCTCCCTTGTAAT